TGTCGCTACTACTCCTTCATAAACACTATTTCCCAAATGCAATATGAATACTATTGCCATGAACTTGTAATTAATCCAACTTAACGTTCATTAGATTTAAGATGTAAGTTGTCCTATTAGATAACCCATGTTAAGTTATTAAAGGTTAATTTCCTTTAAGACTTCTCACAAATATGTCATCCCAAGTCTCACCTCTGGACTTGTTGCGGTAATTTTTGTAATCAGGACAACAATTCTCCTTGATTTGTGAGCTTCCATTTGGTCCATATAGCTGTTAGTGCAGATACTTTGGGTTAAATTAGTTCAGACACCCTAACTCATAACTACAGCTACAGTTGTGTTCATATTGATATAGTCAGTAACTGCAGAACACTGACTATATCAAAATTGAAATATAGTCTAAGTTCCAGTACTAATGAGAGTATCGGAACTGCAAGAGAGTGTTACTTGAGAGTGTTAGTAGGGTCTTGTACCGGTGACGTGAGTACTACAGTACTGTATCAGTGTGTGTCTAGGTCCGGGGATGTACTTTGTAACACACTTTGTCGGTCGTACAGCTGTCATGTGACTTCAATACAGCTCTCTGATTGGCTAGTTGGTATCACGTAATTACTTTACAGATCTGTGATCGGTCAGTGGCTGTGATTGTAGTTTGGGGCTGATAACTCCTAGTGACACATTTCCAGTTGGTCGTTAACTACGTATTCGCACTACGTATTCGTATTTAATATCCCAAAAGCTTTACAGCTTCACCTCCACTCGACTTCCTGACTTTTCATTTCCAATCTACCAGGTGCAAAGACTGCAGTTGAGTTATTACGTGATATAAGATATTTCTTACTTTCTTACTTGTAACTTTGTACGCTAAATTGTACACCAAGGTAATATTGCACACGTGACACATACTCTTAACCCTACAAGATTGTAGTGTGGTTTGTACTGATCTTGCGTGTTACAACTGGTGTTAGCCCGTTAGTTTTATAGCTCGCTGTGTTTATATATAATAGCTGTGTTTATATATAATATTATATAATCGTGTTTATAGAGTTGATAGAGTTTATAGCTCACTTTGTTTAGCCGTCATAGTGTTTGTAGCTGGCTGCTGTTCTGCTGAACTAGTCCCACACACACAATCTACGTGATGAAGAATGCAAGAGCTCAATATTCTAATAAGTTGTGCAGGTTTTAATTTTCATACGCTCAGCCGTACTATTGAGCTGTATGTGCACACAATTACTACGTCCAATCATCTTCCTGTCCAATCACGTGCCAGGTTCTTCGGTGCATGGTGGAAGTTCTCTACTACGTTCCAACTCTCGATATCTTCCTTAATTGCTGTGTGTTACTCCGTTATCTTGCCTTGATAAGAACACAGTATAAGTAACCTGATTACGGATAGTCCGCTAGTAGGTAGCAGATAGTAGCTATACTGCCTGATATTACCTGCCGTTGACAACTTGTCATAGTACACTCGCCTAATAAATTGATATTCTGCCTACTCCGAGAAGTTGGTCATTTTCTTGATGCACCGTACACATATTGGTCATGTGACATGATGCCACGTGGTGTGACGTCATATCAAGTGATGCGACGTCACACGATTGATCATGACGTCACATTTGTTATACTTTCTCATTCTAATCCATTTGAGGCGAACTCCTTGTATTTCAGTATTTGTTCCACCTACTGACTACTGAATGCCCAACTATGTTTCTCTTACCTGCTCCCCCACCTTTAGTACAGTGATCTCACTTTGTAAACATGACACATGTAACTCTTCTTTGAAGGTTATATTTTTGAATTTCATACCTTGAACCGCAACTGCTGCTATTAGTGGTGGTCCGTGAACTGTTGGTGAAAACCATCATTGATTAGGAACAGCTCTCTGATTGGTTTGTTTGTGTCACGTGAGAGGAGAGTATTTTTGTGGTAATTGTATTAACACCTATACTACTTGGGCAGTATTTGATGACGTCATCTTAGTTCTTACAGCAGGTCTCTGATTGGTTGGTGTGTCTCAGGAAGACTGCTGATTGGATGGTGACAATGTTTGTTGCTACTTGCCACCACAAGCACTGTCAGGTCCAATCCGTCGCAAAATTACATATTTAGTTTTGTCTGCCTTTGTCCGGTCCCCAACTTTCAAGCATACAATTTGAATTCTATGGTAATTGATTTGAATAACAAGCGATTTCCTGGATCTTTTAAATGTGTTAAGTAGTTCAAGCTTTTCTTTCATTGATTATGATGCGATGCAACATACTAACTTTTCGTTTTGTTGTGAGTGCTTGGTGCAACCACCGATTTGGCTCCCGATAATGATATTAGTAATCCGTTATACTTTTGAACAAATTATGATGCTGATATTATGTTGAACATAATTGTCGAGTGATTGATTTGTTATACGAAATGGATCATAAATGGATCATAAATGTCATTTAACTTTTTATATTTGAATAATTGACAATGGCAACCCCTCCATTTTGTGCTCCGTAGCGCCCCAAGAATGATGAATAAAGAACCAATATTTGATATTTTGACCAACATGAAACGATCGTTAATTGTAATTTTAAATTTTAAAAGGCATGGCAATCCCTACTATACGGTTGATGAAAATATAGCGTCCGCTAACCGGCGCAATTCTTTTTTATTACACTTATGTAATTTTACAAACTTACTGACCAGACTGCTGGTATAGTTGTCAGGATGTCTACTTTTGGGTTTTGGGACTTGTTCAACATTTCATCACTAACGGACCTGGTTAATATTCTGGTGAGTTCTCACGGAGTAATTATTGATCTAATCATCTATAAGTATGTGTGGCATGCTCAAAATATGTCTCCCTGCTTCTAAATTTATCGTGCTTTTTATTAATATTTCTTTTAACTACGCGTTAAAAAAGTCGAGTTTGTGGTTGCGCTGTTAATTGAGCCCGGAACAGGACCTATAAAATATAATGAATACTAATTAATTAGTTATGAAGCTATCCGTGCTGTAGTTACGTGCGAAACGTCTAGTTCTATTATCAGTTTCTAACCTTTGCTCTGATGTTTTTACTGCATATAAGACCATGAATAACATTAGATTTAGCGTGTTATGGATATGATTGTTATGTCCAGTAGAACAGTTTGTTCGCACTTTACGTCTGTTTAATAGTAAAACGAGTTTATCAAACATATTAAATCAAAATTACATTAGTTCAACGATCTTTTCCATTAGTTCAGCGATCTTTCACGTGCACAAACCATGACTCACGTGCACAAACCATGACTCACGTGCACAAACCATGACTCACGTGCACAAACCATGATTCACGTGCACAAACCATGACTCACGTGCACAAACCATGACTCACGTGCACAAACCATGACTCACGTGCACAAACCATGACTCACGTGCACAAACCATGACTCACGTGCACAAACCATGACTCACGTGCACAAACCATGACTCACGTGCACAAACCATGACTCACGTGCACAAACCATGACTCACGTGCACAAACCATGACTCACGTGCACAAACCATGACTCACCTGCACAAATCATGACTCACGTGCACAAACCATGACTCACGTGCACAAACCATGACTCACGTGCACAAACCATGACTCACGTGCACAAACCATGACTCACGTGCACAAACTATGACTCACGCGCACAAACCATGACTCTTAGTTTGGAAGAGCATCATGCGACCTAGTATTGAGGATTACTGCAGGTGACGTAGAATCAGGCATTTATTAGGTTTAGTCTACAAAAACCGACTAAAATTAACCCATATCAGCACTAACTTGTATTCTATAGACCTGATAAACATTAAACATACTATATAACCTAGTATATAACCTAGTATTTACACCGACTCTTCATTGCTCTAATTTGCTGCTTCCATCGCTTGGTCTTGTTGAGCTCGTTTTCTCATATCTCCTGGACAGTGGACTGTGCTCTGGTATCTCCTGGATTATATTCTGGTATCTTCTTGAGTTGAGCTGGAATTTCGGTGGACGTTGCTCTGAAATTGTGGACGTTACTCTGACTTCCCTTTGAAGTATGCCTGTGTTTGCAAGGGGTGTATTTCTCCGACGCGATAAGGTTTGTATTTTTAATTTGTAAGAATTTTTAATTTAAAACGTTTTACAACAACACATTTGAATTATCCTTATATCTTACTTTTTAAACTTTATGTTACTTTACTAACATATTATCCCAAATTTCAAAACGGAGGTTTCGTTTTTTGGCATTTATCCAAGTAATATATTTAACAACAAATATATTTGCGATTTATTTTATTTTTCACCTATTTGCCGTGGATGATGAAGATGGCACAAATGTTTGACCGTTTATCTCGAATATCTGAAAAATTGTGATGATAACCTTTTATTAGATATCGCGTACGCACATACATAATTTGCAAATTGTCTTCGAAAAGTAGACTCAACCTAACATACAGTAATAATATATCACTAATAACTTACGTCATAAGGTATCATTTATATTACCATTAGTATTGATTATAAATAGCATGGATAATAAAATATGATGGGAAACAAATTTAAAAGACAGTCCAATAAATCTTGCTACAAGTAAGTTTAAACAATCATTAATACGCAGTTAATCGTTTAATCTTCCTAATGATAACCAGCATGGTATTTAAGACCAATTTATTGACTATAATTCCAGTGCGAGTGTGTAGTACTCTTAAAAGTCTATATACGTCTACAGGATATTGTTGTGCTGTGTTTCATAATCCAATCTTGAATACTCTCACAATATACGCATTACAATATGCGCTCACAAGAGGTCTAGTTGGGCTGAGTGCAGCTGTAGCCAATGCTTTGTCGACACGGTCGGTCCGGAATTAAGGGAGTCTAAATTGCAGTAATGAGTGGTAGTTACCAGAATCACTCCCTCATACGCCTGATCTACGTCTGCAACAGTTCCCCGCCTTGATCAGTCTCCTGGTTCCGCAGTTCATCTTCTGGTTCCACATTCGATCTTATGGTTCAACACTCCGTCTCCTGGTTCAACACTCCATCTCCTGGTTCAACAATCCGTCTCCTGGTTCAACACTCCGTCTCCTGGTTCAACACTCCGTCTCCTGGTTCAACACTCCGTCTCCTGGTTCAACAATCCGTCTCCTGGTTCAACACTCCATCTCCTCGTTCAACATTCCGTCTTCTGGTTCAACAATCCGTCTTCTGGTTCAACATTCCATCTCCTGGTTCAACATTCCGTCTCCTGGTTCAACAATCCGTCTCCTGGTTCAACACTCCATCTCCTGGTTCAACATTCCGTCTCCTAGTTCAACACTCTGTCTTCTGGTTCAACACTCCGTCTCCTGGTTTAGCACTCCGTCTCCTGGTTCAACACTCCGTCTCCTGGCTCAGCATTCCGTCTCCTGGTTCAGCATTCCGTCTCCTGGTTCAACACTCCTTTCCCTGGTTCAACACTTCGTCTCCTGGTTCAATACTCTGTCTCCTGGTTCAACACTCCGTCTCCTGGTTTAGCACTCCGTCTCCTGGTTCAACACTCCATCTCCTGGTTCAACATTCCGTCTCCTCGTTCAACACTCCGTCTTCTGGTTCAACACTCCGTCTCCTGGTTCAACACTCCGTCTCCTGGTTCAGCATTCCGTCTCCTGGTTCAGCATTTCGTCTCCTGGTTCAACACTCCTTTCCCTGGTTCAACACTTCGTCTCCTGGTTCAACACTCTGTCTCCTGGTTCAACACTCCGTCTCCTGGTTTAGCACTCCGTCTCCTGGTTCAACACTCCATCTCCTGGTTCAACATTCCGTCTCCTCGTTCAACACTCCGTCTTCTGGTTCAACACTCCGTCTCCTCGTTCAACACTCCGTCTTCTGGTTCAACACTCCGTCTCCTGGTTCAACACTCCGTCTCCTGGTTCAGCATTCCGTCTCCTGGTTCAGCATTTCGTCTCCTGGTTCAACACTCCTTTCCCTGGTTCAACACTTCGTCTCCTGGTTCAACACTCTGTCTCCTGGTTCAACACTCCGTCTCCTGGTTTAGCACTCCGTCTCCTGGTTCAACACTCCATCTCCTGGTTCAACATTCCGTCTCCTCGTTCAACACTCCGTCTTCTGGTTCAACACTCCGTCTCCTGGTTCAACACTCCGTCTCCTGGTTCAGCATTCCGTCTCCTGGTTCAGCATTTCGTCTCCTGGTTCAACACTCCTTTCCCTGGTTCAACACTTCGTCTCCTGGTTCAACACTCTGTCTCCTGGTTCAACACTCCTTTCCCTGGTTCAACACTTCGTCTCCTGGTTCAACACTCTGTCTCCTGGTTCAACACTCCGTCTCCTGGTTCAACACTCCGTCTCCTGGTTCAACACTCCGTCTCCTGGTTCAACACTCCGTCTCCTGGTTCAACACTCCTTTTTCTGATGCTGTACCCCATCTATCGGTTCTGCACTCTCGGAAGAAATGTTTTCATAATTCAGTCTTAGTTTACTGATGCCGATGCTGAGGAAATTAATTGGGTAACAGTTCCCTAATTGGGACTAATTTGTCTAGTTATAAGAAGCTCGCTCTGGGGGCCGGGACGGAAGGGTCAATAAAAACTCTGCGGACTTACTATTAGTAATATACACCAATCAGAGCCTCGTGTTTCCTTAGAGGAAATTTGAAGAGCTGCCTGCTAGCTTTACTACAATATATCTTTTCTCCAGCCCACCTTGGATCTCCCTGAAATACGTTCCCGTTGCACTATATATTAAACTTTGTTCTGCAGCTTCCTCTAATTCTAAACTCATGCTTTTAAACTGCTGTCTGGCCTAACCAGCTAACCTAATCTATTAGATAACCTTATTTTATGGTTATCCATAGTATTAATTATTGCGTTAACTGTACATAACGTCAGCACAGCGTAAACAGCGGATGAAGTCCGTGCTTAGTCAGCTGTCTCTTATAGTTATGATGTTCTTGGGTCGTGTCTCTTCTGGTGTTCTTGGTTTGTGTTTCATGCCTCCGTTTCAGCAGATGTCTCTTTCGGTGTTCTTGGTTTGTGTTTCATGCAGCTCCGTTTCAGCAAATGTTTCCTCTGATGTTCTTGATTTGATACCCGTGCCTCCGTTCAATAATCTCTTTTTTGTGGTTTGTGCCACATGCCTCTTCTGATGTTCTTTGGTTGTGCCACATGCCTCTTCTGATGTTCTTTGGTTGTGCCTCGTGCCTTCGTTTTTTTAAGTACGCTATAACTTGACCTTACTTGTGAGTTCTGGGGAACCGGGAATGAACTTTTAATCGTCAATATTTTGCCACTCATCGTTTTAAATTAGCTGTTTGGATTGGGCGATATCTGTCCGACAGTGACATCTGTCCGACTCAGACAGATGTTATTCTGACAATAGTTTATGTCGGATCCTACAGTACGATTTTATTGAAACTTTCCATAAAGTATGGTGGTTATAGGATGAATAATTTGTGTAAGTTTGAGCGAGTTTCTATGTGCCAAATTTGAGATATCACCTTAAACTAGGGTTGCCATTATCGGTACAATTCTTTTTATCGCGATAATCGATAATTTTTTCGTAATTATCGCGATAATATCGGTTATCGGCGATAAATTTGGCAAGATAATTGAAGTTATATTTGTCTGCACTCTGCATACTAATTATGCTCCTATGCTATGTAACCTTGTAATATCATCATTATATAGTAACAAAATGGCATGAAATTAAAAAAAAATCAACAATCAGCAAATCTAACGAATATTCATTCAAGTTACAACATAGTTTATTCAAAAAAGTCTGCTGGCGTGGTACGAAATATAATGACTTAATGAACTGCGTATTTCTTAGATAGTCTCAGTTTCCTGCCTGTTAGTTGTGAATAGGTCAATCTCCCGAGCAAGGGTATCTATCCTTGGTACCGAGTTGTCTAATGGCCTGTAAGTCCTGATAACCAGTCGTCGTTTGTCTCTTACTACTTGAACAACCGCTGGTGCAGAGACTTTAAGTTACTTCGTGATAATTCTAGAACGTTAACAGCGATACGAAGTTAAGGTTCTTTCTCTTAACATATCGTGTACGTAGACTATTATAAACTTCAAGAAAAGATCGAGAAAGTAGCGATTCTATCTTTCCAGCTATCAATAAACTGAAAGACTGAAGAATCACTTCTGCTTGAGCGAGATTTTTGTCTCTTTTACACAGAACTGATAATGTCTTTAACTAACTCAGTCTTTTCAGCATCCAGTTTTAGATTACCTAGCTCCAAGTCAAATAAAACGTCGTTCACTGCATTGCAGTTATCACTCCAACATACTGCACCTAGTGAGCTCCAACGGTTTTTGCTGTCTTGTTGTAGTCTGAGTTCCTTTCTGTGCTTCAACAAACAACAATAACTACGTCTGAGCATAAAACCTTCAAGTTCAATCCACCTACTTACTTAGTTGCGATAACGCAACCTTTAAATTTTCATTGCCACAAATTCATACACAATACACACTACACAGCACGTCAGCATACCATTACACTGTAAATTATGCTAGCACTGGGGTTTTACTCTACAAACAAAGAAACAAATTAGAAAATCTGTGCCATTTTCCCCTAATAAAAGGTGGTTGATTATCGCGATAATCCTCGAAAATTATCGCGATAATCGATAACGATTTTTGGAGAATTATCGCCGATAATTATCGGCCGATAATATCGGCTGGCAACCCTACCTTAAACACAAAAAATATCTCCAATTCGGTGGTTTGCAGTGGATTGGGCGATATCTGTCCGACAGTGACATCTGTCCGACTCAGACAGATGTTATTCTGACAATAGTTTATGTCGGATCCTACAGTACGATTTTATTGAAACTTTCCATAAAGTATGGTGGTTATAGGATGAATAATTTGTGTAAGTTTGAGCGAGTTTCTATGTGCCAACTTTGAGATATCACCTTAAACACAAAAAATATCTCCAATTCGGTGGTTTGCAGTGGTTCCAAGGCATATATCTGGAGATATCACTTCAAACACAAGAAAATAGTGCTGTCAGACAGATGTGGCTGTCGGACAGATGTCGTGTTACCGCTGTTTGAGAATTGAATTAAGCTTAGTTACGGGTAAGATGAGGTTTGAGGCTGGTCATGACTATGGTTAGGACGTAAAGGATACGAAGTAGATTGAATACGTCAGTATGTGATTTAAACGTGGGAACGGTAGAAACTGGTAACATAAAACAGTGGACCATAACTTAACTTAGGTAGTCTGGTAGTTTGGAGATGTCGATCCTGATAAAAGCATTTCTTCAACACTTGGACACCTACTACAAGGACGAACTCCTGGATCTCATCCCCAAATGGCTCAGGAAAAGTCTAGGATGCCCCGTGAGTGAGCTGTTACCATGACTACTTATTACAAATGCTATCTTACTTTACTTATCAATTGTCCGAATGGCAGTTTGAAAATATTACGATGTTTTTCATTCCAATTTATTAACTCTTTCACCAGCAGTTCTAAAATTTCTCTTCATTAAATTTAATCAACTAACAAATAAGTTTCACAACCTCAATATATATATATATTTGATCTGTTAAAATAACGCCCAATCAAGGACTACGAAGCTTGATACTAGGGCTTGTTTTACCACAGCTGTATAACAGAGAGTCCATACAGCCATCACTAAGTTAACCGACCTAATTGTCAGCATTAGGCTCGGAACCTTATTTTGGTGCAAACAACCTAATTGTGCCTTGTTAGTCCTTTAATTCTGTTTACCAACTGAACGTCTGCAGTATAGACTATTTTATAAGCGGTAATTACATATAATATTATTATTAACGCAGCAAGGCAACGGTTGAGTCGAACTATGTGCAGTAAATCTGGGTTCTACTGTAGTTCTGATTAAAATGAGACTTAAATCTAACACGTGAAGTCATGTTGGCTCTGGGATGGAATAACGCTCACAATTAATACGCTGGTTTCTTTGATGCTCTTGAGCTGTACGGTTCAGGGGGGCCAATAATGGTTAATAATTTCTAAAATGTAGCTTTTAGAGGGTCTTGATGATTCTTCATTCTAGATTTACTTTGTAGTTAGCATTGTATCGTGTTTGTAGGTTAAATCAGCAGCCCGAGCTTTATCAGCCTATAAATATTTTACGCTACCACTCGCAACATATTAGATTTAATAATCAATAAAATTATCACCTGTCGAGAGATTATAATCGAATGTTTAGTGAACATCCATGAGAGTAATGCAGTAGACAACTGTATAAGCGCTTCATCCATACCTTCTGCTGGTTCAGGTATCAGTATTGATAGGTTTACAAGGTTTACAAGGTTGATATAGACATTGCTAAACTATCCCGGAGTTGTGAGTAGGTGAGATGTGTGCACAAGTGTCTCAATGAGAGAAGAGAGAGAGGGGGGGGGGGGGGGGGGGGGGGAGGGGTGATATCGACAAATTCGTATTTTTTTCCAAAAAATGCAAATGTTCGGGTAATTATATTATGGCCAATGGCGAGATGTACTAATGTACACTTTACGAGCGTGTTAAAGTATAAGTCACGTGATAGTTGAGTGGAGTGATTAATGGTCATCCTAAAGTTTAGCATTTATATCGCAAAAGCGAGACTGACTAAGAATCTTCTTGAGAATAAACACCCAAAAACAGCGATACCCGGTACCCCCATTGTTTGAAGTGTTGATACCACAAAACTATTGAGTTGTATGCCTTGCAGCTGGATGGTGTGATAGTATCAGTATGCACATGCCTGCAGCACTAGTCTGCAGAAACCTAGGATAACAACCCCCAACGTATCCGTCCTAACACCATCACAGTGATCATGGTAGCGTGTCTCTAGTGGTGTTACAAAGCTGGTCACGTGACAGTACCACGTGACCAGTACACTTCTGTTCTGACGATATAACCTAGCAGGCACACTTCACTGCACATTTGTGGTTTCAAGATGCGTTAAAGCATATATATAGTTATATATACAGTGATATATAGTGTTATTTTCCCTGCATTTTACAACATTATCTTGCTTCTTTTTATTGTACACTAATCCTTGTTTGTACTGAGTTCGCTTGTGAAACGTCCCCGGAAACTGCCAATGATGATATTTATAATCTGGATGATTGTTGATAACGTGGTGTAATAACGTTTCGATAATTAAGATTATACTGTCTCCCTCCAATTATCTCGTGTTTAGAATTTACGTGATTAGTTTGCACTGTGACGGGTCCTCTCTCTCTACTGTGATAATATGTAACTTTACTCGCTCCTTTTCTATTTTGTCAACTAATTTGTCACAGTTTGCTACTATCCTAGTTACCAATGTTCTCCTAATGACATTAGGAGAGTTCGGGCCACTTTCTGTCAGCAGTAATTCCTTGAATTATATTAATTAATTAGTAGTAATTACTTAAATTAGCTAAATTGGGCTACCGGACAACTGAACCCAATTTGGACTTTTCCTAGACAGGGTAGCTTGGGAAAATAATTATAAACCCAATCAGACTACCCAATTAACTTTGAAACGACAACTGAACCCAATCGTCACTAGAAATCACTAACAGTTTAACAGGTTTCCAAATACCGTTCTAGTTTAGCTGCTGCCTGGTTTCTAGTGCTATAATAATTTCGGTCTGTTGAGGTTGGTGCTTCGGAGTGGTTGGCAGATCCGGACTTATCTGCTCGTGATCGTTGGACAATTCTGGCGAGTGATTTTAGTTTAGGTAGTACCACGTTGATTTCGGATGGGCAATGGGCATGTAGATAAGGCTTCGGTGAGGAGGTTTTGTGTTGCTGGGAGGTGTTGGTCGGCAGCTTTCCGCTTCAATTCTGCTCTGAACTCTGCTTTCTCAGCTACTAGGTTGTCAGGGTATAACAAGCGTACTAATAGATGACAAGGTCTCAGGTGCCTTTCGATCGCGAGATCTGATCTAACAAGCTTACGTGTTCACGAAGCGTGCCGAAAAGGATACGATCCACTGCTCCTCAAGCATCGAGATCCGACCCAGGGCCCTCCCAAAGCATCAGGAGTCACGAGATCCGAGTCAAGTAACCTGAGCCAAGTATCCAGCGTGCTAATGGTGCGTTCCATCAGCTTTGGAAGACATGAAACAGTGGAACTATAAGAACGCCCATCAAGATCCGTATCTACAAGGCTAACTTTCAAAGCTAGACGGACACGTTGTCAGAATGCCAGAGACACAGTTTCCCAATTTTTTACTGGATTAGAAACCAAACTATGGGAAGAGACTGAGAGGACGACTCCGTTAAGGCTGGATGGCCTGTGTTCTCGAGGATGCGGCTGACAGGTGTCGATAACATCAGCAGAGACGCAGTAAAACAGTTAGCTCTTTAACTAGTGGAACACCGTAGAAGAGATGCGTGTGATGCAGGCCACTCCAACGACTAGGAGGAGACCTCTTCAATCTTCATGTAGCATGTATGTATTGATATTTTACCGGGGTAAGCACAGGGCTCCAATGCTCTAAATTACAGTGGTCATGATCTATCCTATAGTGATAATGACCACAGTCATATCACTGAAAATCCGATCGTTGGGTTCAGTTGTCGTATTTCCTTGGGTTCAGTTGTCGTATTTTCAATTTTGGTGCAGTTGTGATATGACCTGGGTTCAGTTGTCGTTTTGGGATTTAAGCTGATTGGTCACCCAATTAAGCTGATTGGGTGCCTGTTAACTGCGTGGGAACTAGGTTCAATTGGGTTCAGTTGTCTGCCACCCCTAAATTGATTATCTGCTGACATCGTCTTCTTGAACCCCACTGTATTCCTCATAGTGTCCCAAATATAAACTCCTGCTGGACTAGCAACAAGTCTCTCGTCGTGGCTAAGTTTCCATTCAAGTCCCTCTTTACCCGGGCCTCCAAACCAAACCAAGACCATGATGGGGTACGTGTTTTACTGTTTTAGTATGATGGGGTACGTGTTTAATTATCCATGCTACCTTATCGGACGTTATTTGACTGGACATTGTGTGAACGGACAAAATTTTGAACGGACATTAAAATGAACGCTCAAAGGCATTCGATTAATTTATTTATTTGAACTACCTTGTCGGACTTTATTTGAACGAACATTAAAATGAACGCTATAGGTCCTCCAGCGTCCAATTAATGCCCGTTCAAATAAAGTCCGGTACGGTATTTTGGCAATGCAGTGCCCCTCCTCCCCCTTTTGATAGGAGAAGAAAACATTACATTTGGCCATCCTATATCGCAGGATTCCTACACTCTGCGATACGAGTTTAAAGAACAGCTAGTATGTTTTACAGCCATTTTCCGCTCAAATGCAGCTTTCAGTTCTTTAGAAGCTGTAAAATCGCTGTATTTACTTTTAGGAGAAAGTATGATAATTTCGTTAACACACAATTTCATGCCCTGTAAATGGTCGGGTATGTATGCCAAAGGAAATAAGGAATGTTAGCTTATTGGACATTAGAATGTTATTGAACATTAAAATGTTATTGAACATTAAAATTTTATTGAACATTAAAAGCTATCACTATCAGAAATTGTAGCTAGGGGCTGAGGGCCTAGGTCCAGGCCATTAAAAATTATAAATCACTGGTAATCCAAAAACTTGAAAGTTGTACGCAGTATTTGGCGCGACGGACAAACTTAGAATAAACATGATAATTATAGAATATAGGTGATAATTAGGTGATCACTTAAAAGTTTATAAAATATATCTCTCTACATAGATTATAAAGAACGGTTCAACTGACATCATACACTGACTAACCAGCCAACATTCTAAATAAGTAGAGTTGTGACACTCTTAATTAACATATTGTATTTAATCTATTTGTAACATGTTGTTATTTCAGGCCCGGAGAAAGAGAGCAATGGGTCACACGAGCCCAGAAATGCACACACATGACGATTTAGTGCTCCTCAAGGTATTTTTACATGGAACCTAATGCTTATACTAATTAATGAGATAATCGGGAAATAGTGATTGATTAATGAGTAATTAATAACGTATTATAAACTTATGGATGTGACTGGTGGGATGGATTGCTTATTTTACCTCGCCACTTCACCAGTAGAGCTAGTCCATTACTACATTAAAATTACTACAAATGATATTGGGGGAACTAACTTTCCACTGTCAGCGAGTATTCAACTAATCAAATGTGGCCAGTGGAAGCCTACTAAAAGTTGCACGTGCAATAGCAAGTTGCACGTGCACTATGTGTGTTAAAGGAGCAAGTCATAGTGATAACAATGCTACATCTGTAACCTCCCTAACATCAGCTCTCTAGCAATATGCTGGTGAGTTACTGGGCGGCTCTCAGCCCTGTTATTCCGCAATATCTTCTTTCGGTGCTTATGAACACTGAAGCCTGAGATCCCCAGCTAGTGAGCTGATACTAGTGGGGACTCGGTGTTATAGGGAGGTTTACAGAAGTAGCTTTGTTATCAGTATAACTTGCTCCTTCATCACACATTGTGCAATAACAGCACTGATAACAGCACTGTCTACAGTTATAGTTACCCTGTCCCTTACTTTAACTATACGTGATATGTTATAACCAACCTTCTATTGAATAATACTCCATCCTTTACTAGCTATCGTTGTCATTTGAAATTAATTGGTGGTTCGTGGATCTAATATCTATTAATATAACATTTCTAGTAGTCTGTAGTGTGTGGTGCAGCTGTTGAGTGTCTCTAATAGTGGGCCCTCCACTTGTTGTTGTTATGATGTTACATTGCTGATATCAGAGTTATCGTAATCATGATAATATTATGTTGATATGTGATAGCATAATAATTGTCAGTATTATGCAACGCAAGGGATCTGTTTTTACAAACGCTCTCCAGAAATACGAAGCTAACAAGCTAGTGGAGAACACTTTTAAGATAAACTTATCGGTAAATCACAGATTGTAATTTGTAGACACTGCTCAGTTGAACTTTCTTAAGATCTGTCATGAGCGATACAAACTCCCGTTACCAGGACAATAAGATGTTAGCTGATAAGATAACAGATTCTTTATCACCAGGACAACAAGATGCTAGCTGATAAGATAACAACTACTTTATCACCAGGACAAAAAGATGCTAGCTGATAAGATAACAAATACTTTATCACCTGGACAATAAGACGCTAGCTGATAAGATAACAAATACTTTATCACCAGGACAACAAGATGTTAGCTGATAAGATAACAAAAACTTTATCACCAGGACAACAAGATGTTAGCTGATAAGATAACAAATACTTTATCACCAGGACAACAAGATGCTAGCTGATAAGATAACAACTACTTTATCACCAGGACAATAAGATGCTAGCTGATAAGATAACAACTACTTTATCACCAGTGCAATATAATGTTAGCTGATAAGATAACAAATACTTTATCACCAGGACAACAAGATGTTAGCTGATAAGATAACAGATGCTCACATAGAGGAGTTTAGACACGCCTTCACTATGTTTGACAAGGACGGCGACGGTAGCATATCAACAAAGGAGCTAGGTAAGTTAGCATCTTTATCAAGGAGCAAGGTTAGTTGTCTCTAACTCTATCATGACATTTAGGTAGAAGGTAGAAACGTTAGCTATCTCTTGCCATTAGAAGGTAGGTTAGTTGAATGTAATCATTAGCTTGCCCAATCCCCCCTTCTCCCTTCCCACCATTGTGAAAGTCATATTTCTGATTCTCAGGAACTGTTATGAGGAGTTTAGGACAGAACCCCACAGAGAAACGACTGCGAGCTATATGTAACGAGGTGAGTTGTCTTTACAGGTGATACAAGTAAGAACGTTAAGGTATTTTAATTGCAATTATCTATCTTGATCTCTGATTGTATAAAAGTCCTGAAACTGGAAGATCTCAGTATGATTAGTGTAATGTTCGCAGGTTGATGTGGACGGTAATGGTAAACTAGATTTCAAGGAGTTTATTTTACTGATGACGACACACTTTGATAGTATTAACGCTGAGTGCGAACTTAAAACTGCGTTCCAAGTAAGTTCCTACTTTGCGGATACTGATCTGTGATTGATAATTGTTCGAAATTTATTGTATTCATGTTGTTGAGACAAAAAATGTGCTTGTTAAAGGTAAATGATCGACGTTTCATTAAGAATTTATCTCTTGTCAGGTTTTCGACACTAAAGGTAAAGGTTGGATTGACGAGGCTGAATTGAGAAGATGTCTAACTACTATAGGAGACAGGCTGACTACTGAGGAGGTCAGTATTTTCTTTATTCTGATTGGTTAGTTTGTGTCACGTGACTAGAATTCAGCTCTATGATTACCTTACTCGGGATTATTACGACGGGTTTAGTAACGACCGGTTAAAATATGGTTCGGGAAAAATATGGCGAAATTGCTCAAAACCCACCACATTTTCCCGGTCGCCATTTTACCGGTGTCCAACCTTTCAATTTTAGATTCAAAAATTTTGTCTCAGATGTAAATTTCCTTATTAGAGATAAGCAAGTTTAGAAATTTTCGCATTGCTAAAACTTGTGAAACAAGTCGAATTATCAATAATTGTTGAAAGTAGACAGAAATAATGACTCGTGGTTAATCAAACTAGATGGAAAATAATTTTAAACATTTCAAGCGTAACAACCAGATCGATATTAAGATAAAGGGAGAGCTGTTTAGTCTTCCAATAAGTTGTAATCATCTTCGTTATCTTCATCTGGATCATCCCTTTCATCAGTTTTAATTAATTCAAGTTTTAATTTGACTGTTACTTTTACTTTGAGTCCTATTTCATTATGCATAGATAGTCAATACCTAAGAAATTAAAAATCGGCCTATTTAAATCAAATTTGACAATAAGGATATATGACAAGAATTGGGCAAAAAGGTGAATTTTTTGCAATTTTAGCCAAATGAAGTCGAAAAACCTACAACAAGTGTCCTAATAGTCTTCTTTAGTGAATATAAGACAACGATTAAAATATGAGCACCCATACCCCTTGGGTACCCTAAAAGCTGAGTAGGCGGGTTTATTAACGACCGGTGAAAATGTGGTTCGGGAAAAATATGGCGAAATTACCCTAAACCCACCACTTTATCCCGGTCATAATAATCCCGAGTAAGGTAGTTAGGGAGGGAGCCAAGTGGATATTTGTAGATATTTGGATAATGTCATCCACTTTTTTCGTGAATTATCCATTGAAATGAAATGAAATGAAAATGAAATGAAATGAAATAAAGCATTTTTATCCCGCTTATATCAACAATCCAAATAAAAATAAAGATTGCCGATGTCAAAGCGGCTGGCCTATGAATATACCCCAAACTAAGATATTCAGTTAATGAGTATGATATAAAAATCCAAAACTAAATTACTTATTGACATTAAAAGTTAGCATAGCAACGGTGAAAAAACAACTTAAGGATGTATATCATTAAACATTATTATAAATCGTTCACTCCACTATCTTGTCCTTACAACAAATTTTACCACTTCTGATATAATAATGTTTATCTGTGTCTTCTTTGGCAATCTGTTTCATCTCTAAGACCAACTGCTGATGGATAGTTCGTTCCTCAGGTGATCGGTCCGGAGAAATGAAAACAGTTTTATGACGTGAAATCAGTCTCAGTTCTTTGGCTTTCACTAATATCTGATGGACTGTACTTGAGTTTTCAAAAGAAACTTTAACTGGTCTAATCTTTTCAGCTGACTTCTTCCAACCGGCGCTCGAAGTCTAAGTGTGGCTTTTCTTCAATCTTGGCTGAAACATTCGCCCACTTCATGATTCAGATTCTCTTCACTAGTCTCCTTCGACCCAAATATTACACATCTTAGTTCGATCCGCTTCTGATAGAACATTCTGTACAAACCTTTTCAAGTCTCTTCTGTGGGTACAGGTGCGGCGGGGGATTTCGGAACAGCTTGACTGAATGTGATCTAATCCAGCTTGAACAGTTGTCCTGGACGGTGGCTGACGGTGGATGTGCACGGATTCCAATTGCTTTCGATTTGACTTTCCAGAAGTTCAGCTACAATAATCTAACAAATTCTACCATATATCTACAAAAAAACTGTACTATCTCATATATGTGCCCAGAAATTCTTATGAATTTTTGGAGATAAAATTTGTAGATTTGTTGAATTTTCGTGAAATTATCCATTGACAATAATCTACAAATATCTACATTTATCTACCAAATAAAATTTAATCTCAACTATTTGCCCAGAAATTCTACTGACTTTTTTGAAATAAATGTATATAAATTTGTAGAATGTCATCCCCTTTTTCGTGGATTATCATTCTACATAAAATCTACAAATATCTACCAAATACACTTGGCTCCCCCCTAGTTAGTTTGTGTCACGTGACTAGAATTCAGCTCTATTGATGGGTTGATTTACCTGATTCAACTTTCTATTGTTCAGGTGGACCGAGTTGCTGACATGAAGCAGACGGGATCACGCTGGCTGTATTAATTATCTAGAGTTTGTTAAAGATATGATCAAGAATCATTACAGGTCAGTTTCTTTTCACTTTCACTTTCACTTCACTCTGACAGCCATCACTTCAATACTTCCAGATCATTCCCAATGGGGGGGGGAATTTTGGTTTTTCGGAATTTCTAACTACCTTATTTAAATCCACTTTTGTTGTCACTATGATCAGAGTTCACTGACCCAGGGGGACAGTTATCTAAATTCTTTACCCAGGTTCAAATGCAACGCCAGAAGTTCTGGTAAACGAGAATGTGGATGTTACTAACTATCGGAGACAGACGAGTTAGCCCGCTATCATAGCAACACCACTAACTTGCATTTCATATCCATGGAAACAGACCAAACTCGCATTTTTTTCGGCAACAGAAGAATCTGCTTTTTATGTCCATGGGAAACGATCAACCATTTTTAGACTCCATCTGCTGACTGGCGAGATAACGGATTGTGTGATAAAACACAGAAGAAAGCTTTAATCCTGGAAACAGACAAATAGGGTCTGATAGAAGTTTATAACGGCTTCATCGGCGAAGAGCGATGGTTCTCCTACATATTTCATACTGTTATAGTTATACTGTTCAAGCTACTTGTGAAGTTAATTTGAAGATCGAAGCTGAACCAATATAGTCGTGAAGGAGAACAGTGCTAGTGATTAAAGACTGACACCTAATTATTTGTAGGATTTACAAACCTAGTTTTAGTAGTTCTTATTTATAAAGAAGAAGTTAAACTTTTAGGTGAAAACTTGTAAATTTATATTTAACAGTTGTGTTTAGGGATTTGTTCATGTTGGACCGAGAAAGAATTGCATCAAAGTGTTTTGTACAGAATTAACCGAAACAATGGAATTTAATTTAATCGTATTTTTATAGCCAAATATTGTAGCTATGGTGGCTACATTAATCTATACGTCATGTCATCATCTATGGGGTGGTTCGTAGATAGATCGACACAGGTTATTGAAAATACCGTTTATAATCCATCCAACCTACAACCCAAATAATCTTACCTGATGATATTACATAAATATAAGATTAAGGGCACTGCATACATACAAACTGTGGGACAGAAAGTCGGTATGGTACAACTGCAAGCTATTGACAGATATGTAGTATGTCTAAGTCGTTTGATATTGTTAGTCTATTGTCAATTAAAATGTTGGCCTAAAATGATGTTCTCTTAATTTGTACCGTTTAATTGGCCCCTACCAATTGAAGCAAACTTGAATCGGAAGTATTTTTGAACACTGAATCCGAATCATCCCGTATAAGATGGCTACTCACCCCCCGTAATAATGCTTAAAATGCCTTCTCTATGCTCGTGGACTGATCATTCTCACTGCCGCCATACTACACGAGCCAAAAGAAATTAGAATCGCGGCAGAAAACATTACAGGGCTTATTTTTCATTTATCAATTAATATTATTTATTAATTGGGACCCCCTCCCAAGATAGTTCATTACTATCAGGAACGTAATTCTATGGGGTCTCTCAAATAAAGTTGCTAGCATGTAAAGGGAGTAATCTCCAACCGTGTCGGCACCGTAAAATTGCAAAGGAATATAAGATTTAATGATCTGTGTTACTGTTGGAAATGAACACTCAAAAAATGATTGAACTATTTGCAAGCGATAACAACGAGCTACATAAAAAAGTTCGGGAAACTTTAGAATTTTTAGGTAAGTCTAAAATCGATTAGCTGACTTAACACTCGCAGTTCACAAAGAAGTTGCTGACTTCGCATATAATTTACGATGAGGAAAATTTCAGCGATGATCGATACATAATATCTATCCCTATTTACGCCACGGATCTGTATTTGTTACCTATTATTGTTATTTACCCAGGTATTGAAGATCCCAGTCCGACTCCAGTACCAAGATATCTATCAAAACAGCTGGAGTACCTAAACGAGCACGAAAAGTTGATACAAAGCTACGTTCCGAGACTTACACAATCTCAGAATACGCACGCTCTCAGAATACTAAGCGAGCAGTTGTTCCTACTAAAGGTTGGTCAGCTTACTGGCATTTTTAAAACTCTTTTCTTTCTAATCTATTGTTATTCGTTACTTTTTTGTTATTAACCATTAACATATAGATAAAGTGAAATTAACTGATGTCTTGTACCCACAGGAGCAGAGGAAGGGATTGAACGCCCAGTACCATCTAGTCCAGCGTTTTAACGCCTGTATTGCACCTCGGCCCCTCCTTCTAAACGGTACCTCACCCCGCACCAACGGACCCCTCCCTCCTCCCAACATGTCCAGTACCCGAGTACCCGGCACTTCACCATCCTTCTCCCCTGGTTATCATCCTCTACCTCCTAACTCATTCCTCGCTAACAACTCCGTTCTTAGTGCTCCCCCGCTGGGTGCTGCCCCCTTAGGTACCGTACCACTAGGTACCGTACCTCTAGGTACCGCACCTTCAGGACTTGGTCCCTCTCCCTCGCTGCTAGGACCCCTCCTGCCTACTAACCAGCAGAGTACGATACTAGGACAACTTAACAGTACCCCTCCAGCTAACAGTCACCACACTTCTCTGTCTCCTGTTTTCAACACTTCCACCAGCAGTGCAGGGCCTCCCCCTGGCTGGCCTACTTTCAACAGTGCTCCACCCTCCTTCGGGAGCAACTCTTCCAGCGCCTTTAGTACTATCAACAGTAAGTCCTCTCAGTTGTATCGTAGTTCTATTTATCAAAAGTTAGTTAGTACTTTCTGTTTGCCTTTGAAGCTCTGGCGGGCCCAGTAGTATTTGTAAACAAAATGTTACCCCTCTGGCTGGCGCCCATGATTTACAAATATTCTCAGTTTTCGGGTTCATTGTCAAATTATCAACTAACCCCAATTAATTAATTAAATAACTAATTATTTAATTTGCAGATACGAGGAGCAGTCCGATGAGTAGCAGTTTGTTTCCAAATGAACCCTCAGTTGGCAGCAGTGTGATAGGAGCTCCACTTTATAACAGTAATAACGATACTTCGCCTGAAACAACTGGTTTGTAGTGTTCAATCTGACTTTATAATTGTTCACATCACATTGAAGGTTTCAATGCTAATATTTCTAAAATAAGAAATTGTTCATGTAGAAAACTGCATTCCCACAGACTACGCGATGCGTTTGTTGCGTAACTTGTGGGCAACTCACGACTTACAAACGGACAGACAGACACACACACAAACTGCAGACCCTCTGTACAGATTACACTGTAGTGACACTGCTCGCGGCTCTTATTCTAGACAGGACAGCTTCTCAGAACTTTCTAGCGACATACTTAACATTCTTAACGAATTCCAAGACTGACTCTATATTTTTACCACGACATCCAATGTTATGTAAGTCATAATGTTACTCACTATCTGTGAAACAGATTGAACGGTGAGATTTAAAGTACATTTTCCGATCCTGATAAAAAATATGGTCGAATATTTTTGGATCGAAGGTCCTGACACGGAATTTTACAAAAAAGGCAGTGCAAATATTCACAACATTTAGTGTTCTTACCTAGTAAGCTGCTGACTGTTACTTTACTGTCACTGACCGACTATGTTTCTCCCTTCACCTCGATTATAGAACTGTAAAATATTCCCTAGATTGATCAATAACTATCTGATTTATTAATTACCGTAATTTCAGGGCCTGCAACGCCAACTACTGTACCTAACAGAAACCTGGGAGCAATTGGAGAGAAACACTTCTAACTCCTTCATCAAACTTACAGTTACATTGAAACTTTTCAATTTTTCTACGAATGGGTTGTATTTCCCACCACATCTGAAGGACATCTTCTCCTTGCCTCTAATAAATACCTTGTGTGATACTTGGTAGTTTTAACTGGTGGCAATGTGTGGACATTGTATGGTAACTCTTAGTAAACGATACCTATAATGCTAACATGTCTAGTATAAATGTTAGCAGCATCGTTTACAACCCAACTCCAACTTGTCATGTCATTTGTCGTGACAAAGTTCAAGTTGTCATGACAACAACAATATGTTGTCATGGTAACAGGGTAACATGCACTCTCTGTAGCAAGTTGTGGTTGTTGCTATTTTTCCCGTAATAACTTATATCGGGGTGAAAAAAGTCTGTTTCGCAGTACTGTGTACTGTGTTACTAATACTAAGGTAGCTGTGTACTAAAGGTGCTATTATTATAGTGCAGTAGTGTTACTGTACTATAATATATAACTTTTAGACTTCTACTACTGCTGCTGGTAGTGGTGGTATTCTGTATTATATAATGTTAAAAACGCAGCACGCTTTATTTTTTGGTTTAAATATTCGTATAAATCTGAAGATGTAACTAGTGGCGGCTAGTTTCTAATAGTAATAAGATGTAAGGGTTTAGATGTTCGTAATATTGTTAGAGACTAGAATCTAGATTTGTGTAAATATTAAAATATCGCCTGACACAGCTCTGCGTTTAATTTTGGTGGATTCATTTTCCTTAAATAATTGTAAAAAGTTAATATAGCAACTAAATTGAACGCAGAGTTGTTGAAGGTTGTTTAGTGTAACTGTAATATCAACAAACGAATTTTCGAAGTTTTATAGGTTAGTTTAGTCGTTTGTGTTTTGTTGTACTGGATGTAACCATTTTGTTACCATGGCAACAGTAAGGTTTGATAGCTAAACTACCCGGGAAATAATTATGTGAATATTTAGTCGAATCTAACTCATACTTTTCTTGTCACGTGACTCGAGCTCTCTGATTGACTAGTTTTTGTCTTGTGGGGTTGTCACTTCGTTAACTTTTTCTTATCTTAGTTATGGCTGTTAGCTATAAGATGTTGGCAGCTGAACGTATGAGAACTTTAAATAGTATTCATAGTCAGCTGGCACCTCGCCAGGAACTTACTTACTTACCTTTACTGTGATACTTACGAGTATTTTAAATTTGTTAATGGTGTGCCGAGAGATTTTTTAGAAAATTAAAGCAAGTACTCCAGTACCAGAGTGTAGTTAACCGGAGTAAAGCCAGTTTGGAAAAGAGCCGTGTGTTTGTGTGGGGTTCCGAGGATTAGATGAGATTCCAGTTATAAGCTCATCCCTCTGACTCTGCCAGTAATTCAAGATATTACTCGCGTAACCATGACAACAGATATTAGTCAGATTTTATCATTTTCCAACTTTGATTTCTTGAAAATGACGCGCGGTTCTTTGTGGCGCTTGCTGTGAAGTTTTTTATTTATTGCATTTTATCTTGTAAACTGTACAATAGTTCAAACTTCCACATAGTTACAATTTTGAAATTCGTGTTTTAATTGAAGAGTTTTACGTTTGGTATCATTCATATGTTACCTAAGCCAGCCTAGGGCCGGGGGAGGTATGAAAATGGTTACGCTAGTGTTATTTTTGTGGAACAGCTATGTGTAAAGTAACTCGTGAAGGAAGAGGGGGTCTGGAATTGCAACAAATGGCTTACGTAATATGTGAACAATCCCTTACTATAACACAGCTATATGATTGGTCAGTTTCTCTGGAGCATGACTAGAAGTAAGCTGTTCAATAAATAATAAACTCAATATGAACTGGGAATTGACAATCAATCAAACTGTATAACAGAGACACTACAATCTACATATGTAAAGAACTTTAATTTAAGGTCACAGGAAAAATAATTCATCTAGCAAAACTCTAGACTCAGAACTCAAGTAGGATTTAAGTTCAGAACATCAGCTTGTCAGTACAATAATCTCTAAAAGCAACTATTAGATTTTCTTGAGCTGCCAGACCAATGCACTGTCCTCACTACCACCCTCATACACAGCCATCACCCAGTTCCCTGTCGTATCTAACCCCATAGCAAAACCGGGCCAGTTCACGTTATTCAGCACAAACTGATCCCCATACTCCAGCACCCTCTTCCTGTAATCAGTGCTGTGTTTTAGAGTCCAGGAGCAGTAGGGCGGGTAAACGGAACTCAGACTCTTCCAGAACACACCGTAGTAGTTCCGTGCTAGACACATAACTTCTCCGGGGTAGTTAGGGGACTTTATGTAGACGGAACTGTACTGGTACTTGATGTCAGGTCCTGGGGTTGTGTTCTCCAGGTACATGGGAATGTGGTTGTGGGCGCTGGCTGTGGAGTAGCCCTCCCAGTTTTGGTAGGATATGGAGGTCAGGTGATCTGTGTTTATCAGGTACATCTTGTTTAGACTCTCGTATCTCCGCTCCCGCTGGAAATGGTGATTTCACATGAAAAAAGTCATCAAAATTATGAGTTTTGGGGCAGAAAGTCTAATTGTCCATGACATTCACAAAAGTAATCGTGGAAATGAGCTGAATTATTTGCATTTCTACTGACCTTGAGGACAGCCTCTATTTCTGTCTCCAGTTCGGAGCTGTTATTCTTGAACTCCTCGTACACTGAGTGAACTGAACTGACGTTAGCACTTACGAATCTCTTTGTCAGACTTCTCTTACATTTCTCCAAACAGACTCCGATTCCTTGAAGCTTGCCGTACCCCACATCTGGTTAAATATTAGTTGGATCATGTGACTAGAAGACAAATCTGATTGTTAAGTTTGAGTCACGTGATAAGTCGAGTGCATCCATCTGACTTAAAGTTAAACTATATATTAAATTAATTAACTTTAATTAAGTTAAACTGATGTTTGTATCTCACCTGAAAGCCAGCCTAACTCCTGATTCTTCTGCTGGGAGATGTCTTCTATCTCAGTTTCCACTTCCCTCAGGTCAGAGAAGATATCCATTATCTTTTCAGTTTCCTTTTGACGAGAGAATACAAACTGCTTGAAATTTCTGGGAACGTCCGGTAAGTTCCACAGAGCATTGAACTCTAAACTCCTCAAACCATCCTGACCGTACACGGTAGATGAGAACTTTATAACGTAGTCCAACACTGACTTTAGATCAGTCAGAGACCCACTGTAGGGTGTACCTCCCAAAGTGTACAGCTCCAGTTCGTATTGTCCCAGTTTGCTCATCTCAGATATTTTTCTCTTGAAGTCTTCAGCTCGCCCGATGTACCCGGCTGCTTGTTTTAGTTTCTTGTCCACTTTTTGTTTCTCTGACTTGTTCCTGCATGGTATTTTGAGGAGAAGTATGAGTTTACCTCCGTAGATCTTCTTGCGGAGATAGTGTGTTCCGAACAGCTCCACAAACCTGGACAAAAATATTATAACCTCACTGTAAAACTAGTATCAGATATATCGCTGATGTTCTAAGAAAACACCTGTCAGTTGATACTTAATTAAAAAGTAAGTTTGTTTTAATTTATAGGACGATATGTATCTGCCACTCACTTATCAAAGTCACCAGCGTCCAGTAGATCCTTGCCTTGCTTCCCCATCAGGACCTGTCCCATAATACTCTCAGTATCAGACACAATATCAATATCAACCGTCAAAACAGAGTCCAACAAGTTCACATTATCTGCCATCAGTACTTTGAGAAACTTTGACGTCCCACTCCCCATATATCCAACCAAACTTGTATCTCAGAGTCCCTCCCATACTCCTCCTTCGATCCTCCCTGTCCTCAAAGTATTTTATCTGGAATGTGTGGCTGATAAAGGCTGACTTCTCAGTGCTAGTTCGAGAGCTGATGCTCATGTTAGTCACGTTCACCGCAGCAGTGCCCGTTCTGGACACTGAGATGGAGTTGTAGCCGACACCGAAGTCTATGTTACTGTGAAGGGGATCGGGGAATACCTCCCGGACTATTTGCTTCCCTATCATACCCTCGGAGGCGCGGCAGTAAAAACAAGCTCACTATGAGACCAAACATTGCTCAGAACAGCTAGAAGATTATCAGACTCAATGCTCGCAGTAACACTGCTGTGGTATTTAACTTCGGAGCGGCAGTCAGGGTGATGTTTAGAACACCATCTGTCTTTCGTCGGATGGTAACTCAATTGAGCTGTGACCGCCGGTTTAAAATTCGGTTCATTAAATGGCCGTGGCCATCTGGCCGTCAACGTGGAGATTCAGAAATGAGCGTTTTGTAAAGAAGTTCATTTGATTATCACCGTGCAAGTCATATTACAAGTAGATGAAAGATTTTAGACATAGAAGTTAAATAGTAACAAAATGGAGTTTTAGTTTTAGTTTATCAAAGCAGAATCAAAAATATCAGTTAAACTTAATGTTAAAGTGGGACAATAATTTTGTGAAAATTATGATTGAAATTACTTTCCGCAATTATATAACAGTACAACACAGATCATTTAAATCTTATATTCCTTACGGTGCTGACACGGTTGGAGAACACTCCCTTTACATGCTGAGCAACTTATTTGAGAGACCACATAGAATTACGTTCCTGATATAATGACTATCTTGGGAGGGGTCCCTAATAAAAAATAATATTAATTGATAAATGTAAATAAGCCCTGTCTGTTCTGCCGCGATTCTAATTTCTTTTTGGCTCGTGTAGAATGGCGGCAGTGAGAATGGATCAGTCCACGAGTATAGAGAGGCATTTTAGCATTATTACGGGGGGTGATTAGCCATATTATTACGGGGGATGATTCGGAATTCGGATTCAGTGTTCAAAAATACGTCGATTCAAGTTTGCTTCAATTGGTAGGGGCCAATTAAATACTTGCATATCTTTCAATAGCTTGCAGTTGTACCATACCGACTTTCTGGTCACAGTTTGTATGTAGTTCAAGTGCCCTTATCCTTATATTATGTAAGTATGTAATATCATCGGTAGATTATTTGGGCTGTAGGTGGATGGATTATAAACGGTATTTTTCAATAACCTGTTCGATCTATCTATCGACCACCCAATAGATGATGACATGACGTTTAGATTAATGTAGCTACCATAGCTACAATAATTTGGCTATAAATATGCGATTAAATTAAATTCCATTGTTTCGGTTTAATTCTGTACAAAACACTTTAATGCAATTCCTTTCTCGGTCCAGCATCAACAAATCCCTAAACACAACTGATAAATATTAAATATACAAGTTTTCACTAAAAGTTTAACTTCTTCTTTATAAATATAAACTACTAAAACTAGGTTTGTAAATCCTACAAATAATTTAAGTGTCAGTTATATCACTAGCAGTTAGCACTGTTCACATTCTCCTTCACGACTGATATTGGCTTCAGGCTTGATCTTCAAATGAACTTCACAAGTGAGCTTGAACAGTATAACTATAACAGTATGAAATATGTAGGAGGAACCATCTCTCTTCGCCGATGAAGCCGTTATAAACTTCTATCAGACCCTATTTGTCTGTTTCCAGGATTAATAGCTTTCTGTGTTATCACACAATCCGTTATCTCGCCAGTCAGCATGATGGAGTCTAAAAATGGTTGATCGTTTTCATGGACATAAAAAGCAGATTTTTCTGTTGCCGAAATAAAATGCGAGTTGGTCTGTTTCCATGGATATGAAATGCAAGTTAGTGTGTTGCTATGGATACGTGGCTAACTCGTCTGTTTCCGATAGTTAGTAACATCCCACGATTTCTCGTTTACAGAACCCTCTGGCGTTGCATTTTGAACCTGGTAAAGAATTTAGATAACTGTCTGGTAAGTGAACTCTGATCATGTGACAACAAAAGTGGATTTAAATAGGGTAGTTAAAATTCCGAAAAACCATCCATTGGAATGATCTGGAAGTATTAAAGTGAATGCTGTCAGAGTGAAAGTGAAAGTGAAAGTGAAAGTGAAAGTGAAAGTGAACGTGAAAGTGAAAGTGAAAGTGAAAGTGAAAGAGACTGACCTGTAATGATTCTTGAGTCATAATCTTTACAAACTCTAGATAGTTAATACAGCCATCATGATCTCCGTCTGCTTCATGTAACAACTCGTTCACCTGAACATATAGAAAGTGAACCAGGTAAATCAATTCTAGTCACCTGACACAAACTAACTAATCATAGAGCTGAATTCTAGTCACGTGACACAAACTAACCAATCAGAATAAAGAAAATACTGACCTCCTCAGTAGTCAGCCTGTCCCCTATAGTAGTTAGACATCTTCTCAATTCAGCCTCGTCAATCCAACCTTTACCTTTAGTGTCGAAAACCTGACGAGAGATAAATTCTTAATGAATCGTCGATCATTTACCTTTAGCAAGCACATTTTTGTCTCAACAACATGAATACAATAAATTTCGAACAATTATCAATCACAGATCAGTATCCGCAAAGTAGGAACTTACTTGGAACGCAGTTTTAAGTTCGCACTCAGCGTTAATACTATCAAAGTGTGTCGTCATCAGTAAAATGAACTCCTTGAAATCTAGTTTACCATTACCATCCACATCAACCTGCGAAGTGCGAACATCACACAAATCATACTGAGAACTTCCAGTTTCGAGACTTATATAATAATATATACAATCAGAGATCAAGATAGATAATTGCAAATACCTTAACGTTCTTACTTGTATCACCTGTAAAGACAACTCACCTCGTTACATATAGCTCGCAGTCGTTTCTCTGTGGGGTTCTGTCCTAAACTCCTCATAACAGTTCCTGAGAATCAGAAATATGACTTTCACAATTTGGTGGGAAGGGAGAAGGGGGGATTGGCGAAGCTAATAATCACATTCAACTAACTTAACTTCTTGGCAAGAGATAACTAACTTTTTTACCTTCTACCTAAATTTCATGATAGAGTTAGAGACAACTAACCTAGCTCCTTGATAAATTGATAAAGATGATTACTTACCTAACTCCTTTGTTGATATGCTACCGTCACCGTCCTTGTCAAACATAGTGAAGGCGTGTCTAAACTCCTCTATGTGAGCATCTGTTATCTTATCAGCTAACATCTTGTTGTCCTGGTGATAAAGTATTTGTTATCTTATCAGCTAGCATCTTGTTGTCCTGGTGATAAAGTATTTGTTATCTTATCAGCTAGCATCTTGTTGTCCTGGTGATAAAGAATCTGTTATCTTATCAGCTAATATCTTGTTGCCCTGGTAATAAAGAATCTGTTATCTTATCAGCTAATATCTTGTTGTCCTGGTAACGGGAGTTTGTATCGCTCATGACAGATCTTAAGAAAGTTCAACTGAGCAGTGTCTACAAATTACAATCTGTGATTTACCGATAAGTTGATCTTAAAAGTGTTCTCCACTAGCTTGTTAGCTTCGTATTTCTGGAGAGCGTTTGTAAAAACAGATCCCTTGCGTTGCATAATACTGACAATTATTATGCTATCACATATCAACATAATATTATCATGATTACGATAACTCTGATATCAGCAATGTAACATCATAACAACAACAAGTGAAGGGCCCACTATTAGAGACACTCGACAGCTGCACCACACACTACAGACTACTAGAAATGTTATATTAATAGATATCAGATCCTCAAACCACCAATTAATTTCAAATGACAATGATAGCTAGTAAAGGATGGAGTATTATTCAATAGAATGTCGGTTATAACCTATCACGTATAGTTAAAGTAAGGGACAACTAGGGCAGGGACAAAAGGATTTCGCGGCATGTACGAAATCGCGAAATTTCCCATTCTCCGCGACAAATTTTATGTATAGTTTAATGTAATTGTATAGCCTGTTAAATTTCGCGGTACCGCGATTTTTGGTCAAAATAACCGCGAAATCCTTTTGTCCCTGAACTAGGGTAACTATACCGTAGACAGGCTTGTTGTCAGTGCTGATATTGCACAATGTTTGATGAAGGAGCAAGTTATACTGATAACAAAGCTACTTCTGTAAACCTCCCTATAACACCGAGTCCACTAATATCAGCTCACTAGCTTTAACCTGGGCATCTCAGCCTTCAGTGTTCATAAGTAAAGCACCAAATGAAGATATTGCGGAATAACAGGCTGAGAGCCGCCCAGTAACTCACCAGCATATTGCTAGAGAGCTGATGTTAGGGAGGTTACAGATGTAGCATTGTTATCACTATGACTTGCTCCTTTATCACACACGGTGCACGTGCAAATTGTTATTGCACGTGCAACTTTTAGTAGGCTTCCACTGCCCACATTTTGATTAGTTGATTACTCGCTGACAGTGGAAAGTTAGTTCCCCCAATATCATTTGTAGTAATTTTAATGTAGTAATAGACTAGCTCTACTGGTGAAGTGGCGAGGTAAAATAAGCAATCCATCCCACCATTCACATCCAGAAGTTTATAATACGTTATTAATTACTCATTAATCAATCACTATATATTTCCCAATTATCTCATTAATTAGTATAAGCATTAGGTTCCATGTAAAAATACCTTGAGGAGCACTAAATCGTCATGTGTGTGCATTTCTGGGCTCGTGTGACCCATTGCTCTCTTTCTCCGGGCCTGAAATAAGAACATGTTACAAATAGATTAAATACAATATGTTAATTAAGAGTGTCACAACTCTACTTATTTAGAATGTTGGCTGGTTAGTCAGTTGAACCGTTCTTTATAATCTATGTAGAGAGATATATTTTATAAACTTTTAAGCGATTGCACCTAATTATCACCTATATTCTATAATTATCATGTTTATTCTAAGTTCGTCCGTCGCGTCAAATACTGCGTAAAACTTTCAAGTTTTTGGATTAACCAGTGATTTATAATTTTTAATGGCCTGGACCCGGACCCTCAGCCCCTAGCTACAATTTCTGATAGCTTTTAATGTTCAATAACATTTTAATGTTCAATAACATTCTAATGTCCAATAAGCTAACATTCCTTTGGCATACATACCCGACCATTTACAGGGCATGAAATTGCGTGTTAAAGAAATTATCATACTTTCTCCTGAATACAGCTATTTTACAGCTTCTTAAGAACTGAAAGCTGCAATTGAGCGGAAAATGGCTGTAAAACATAATAGCTGTAATTTAAACTCGTATCGCAGAGTGTAGGAATTCTACAACATAGGATGGCCAAATATAACGTTTTCTTCTCCTATCAAAAGGGGGAGGAGGGGCACTGCATTGCCAAAATACCTAACCGTAATTTATTTGAAATGGCATTAATTGGACGCTGGAGGCCCTATAGCGTTCATTTTAATGTCCGTTCAAAATTTTGTCCGTTCACACGATGTCCAGTAAAATAACGTCCGATAAAGTAGCATGGATAAATATAATTAAACACGTACCCCATCATACTAAAACAGTAAAACACGTACCCCATCATACTAAAACAGTAAAACACGTACCCCATCATGGTCTTGGTTTGGTTTGGAGGCCCGGGTAAAGAGGGACTTGAATGGAAACTTAGCCACGACGAGAGACTTGTTGTTAGTCCAGCAGGAGTTTATTTTTGAGACACTATGAGAAATGCAGTGGGGTTCAAGAAGACGATGTCAGCAGATAATTAATTTAGCTAATTTAGGTAATTACTACTAATTAATTAATATAATTCAAGTAATTACTGCTGACAGAAAGTGGCCCGTGCTCTCCTAATGTCATTAGGAGAACATTGGTAACTAGGATAGTAGCAAACTGTGACAAATTAGTTGACAAAATAGAAAAGGAGCGAGTAAAGTTACATATTATTACAGTAGAGAGAAAGGACCCGTCACAGTGCAAACTAATCACGAAAATTCTAAACACGAGATAATTGGAGGGAGACAGTATAATCTTTAATTATCGAAACGTTATTACACCACGTTATCAACAATCATCCAGATTATAAATACGATCATTGGAAGTTTCCGGGGACGTTTCACAAGCGAACTCAGTACAAACAAGGATTAGTGTACAATAAAAAGAAGCAAGATAATGTTGTAAAGTGCAGGGAAAATAACACTATATATCACTGTATATATAACTATACATATGCTTTAACGCATCTTGAAACCACAAATGTGCAGTGAAGTGTGCCTGCTAGGTTATATCGTCAGAACAGAAGTGTACTGCAACTGGTCACGTGGTACTGTCACGTGACCCAGCTTTGTAACACCACTAGAGACACGCTACCATGATCACTGTGATGGTGTTAGGACGGATACGTTGGGGGTTGTTATCCTAGGTTTCTGCAGACTAGTGCTGCAGGCATGTGCATACTGATACTATCACACCATCCAGCTGCAAGGCATTATACAACTCAATAGTTTTGTGGTATCAACACTTCAAACAATGGGGGTATCGCTGTTTTTGGGTGTTTATTCTCAAGAAGATTCTTGGTCAGTCTCGCTTTTGTGATATAAATGCTAAACTGTAGGATGACCATTAATCACTCCACTCAACTATCACGTTACGTATACTTTAACACACTCGCAAAGTGTACATTAGTACATCTCGCCATTGGCCATAATATAATTAACCGAACATTTGCATTTTTTGGAAAAAAAATACGAATTTGTCGATATCACCCCCCCCCCCCCCCCCCCCCCCCCCCCTCTATTTCTCTTCTCTCATTGAGACACTTGTGCACACATCTCACCTACTCACAACTCCAGGATAGTTTAGCAATGTCTATATCAACCTTGTAAACCTTGTAAACCTATCAATACTGATACCTGAATCAGCAGAAGGTATGGATGAAACGCTTATACAGTTGTCTACTGCATTACTCTCATAGATGTTCACTAAACATTCGCTTATAATCTCTCGACAGGTGATAATTTTATTGATTATTAAATCTAATATGTTGCGAGTGGTAGCGTAAAATATTTATAGGCTGATAAAGCTCGAGCTGCTGATTTAACCTACAAACACGATACAATGCTAACTACAAAGTAAATATAGAATGAAGAATCATCAAGACCCTCTAAAAGCTACATTTTAGAAATTATTAACCATTATTGGCGCCCCTGAACCGTACAGCTCAAGAGCATCAAAGAAACCAGTGTAGTAATTGTGAGCGTTATTCCATCCCAGAGCCAACATGACTTCACGTGTTAGATTTAAGTCTCATTTTAATCAGAACTACAGTAGAACCCAAATTTACTGCACATAGTTCGACTCAACCGTTGCCTTGCTGCGTTAATAATAATATTATATGTAATTACCGCTTATAAAATAGTCTATACTGCAGACGTTCAGTTGGTAAACAGAATTAAAGGACTAACAAGGCACAATTAGGTTGTTTGCACCGAAATAAGGTCCCGAGCCTAATGCTGACAATTAGTCGGGTGCCGCGCACGAGGTCGGTTAACTTAGTGATGGCTGTATGGACTCTCTGTTATACAGCTGTGGTAAAACAAGCCCTAGTATCAAGCTTCGTAGTCCTTGATTGGGCGTTATTTTAACAGATCAAATATATATTGAGGTTGTGAAACTTATTTGTTAGTTGATTAAATTTAATGAAGAGAAATTTTAGAACTGCTGGTGAAAGAGATAATAAATTGGAATGAAAAACATCGTAATATTTTCAAACTGCCATTCGGACAATTGATAATTAAAGTAAGATAGCATTTGTATATTTTGTAATAAGTACTCAAAGTAGTCATGGTAACAGCTCACTCACGGGGCATCCTAGACTTTTCCTGAGCCATTTGGGAATGAGATCTAGGAGTTCATCCTTGTAGTAGGTGTCCAAGTGTTGAAGAAATGCTTTTATCAGGATCGACATCTCCAAACTACCAGACTACTTAAGTTAAGTTATGGTCCACTGTTTTATGTTACCAGTTTCTACCGTTCCCAATATTACCTAACCACGTTTAAATCAAATACTGCCTTATTGAGTTATTCAATCTGCTTCGTATCCTTTACGTCCTAACCATAGTCATGACCAGCCTCAAACCTCATCTTACCCGTAACTAAGCTTAATTCAAGTCTCAAACATCGGTAACACGACATCTGTCCGACAGCGACATCTGTCCGATAGCACTATTTTCTTGTGTTTGAAGTGATATCTCCAGATATATGCCTCGGGACCACTGTAAACCACAGAATTGGAGATATTTTTTGTGTTTAAGGTGATATCTCAAATTTGGCACATAGAAACTCGCTCAAACTTACACAGATTATCCGTCCTATAACCACCATACTTTATGGAAAGTTTCAAGAAAATCGTACGGTAGGATTCGACATAAACTATTGTCCGAATAACCTATTTTCTGAGTCGGACAAATGTCGCTGTCGGACAGATGTCGCCCAATCCAAACAGCTAATTTAAAACGACGAGTGGCAAAATATTGACGATTAAAAGTTCATTCCGGTTCCCCACAACTCACAAGTAAGGTCAAGTTATAACGTACTTACAAGTAAGGTCAACTTACAAGTAAGGTCAAGTTATAGCGTACTTAACAAAACGACGGCACGAGGCACAACATCAGAAGAGGGATGTGGCACAAACCACAAAAAAGAGATTCTTGAACGGAGGCACGGGTCACAAATCAAGAACATCAGAAGAAACATCTGCTAAAACGGAGGCATGAAACACAAACCAAGAACACCAAAAGAGACACGACCCAAGAACATCATAACTATAAGAGACAGCTGAATAGGCACGGACTTCATCCGCTGTTTACGCTGTGCTGACGTTATGGACAGTTAACGCAATAATTAATACTATGGATAACCATAAAATAAGGTTATCTAATAGATTAGGTTAGCTGGTTAGGCCAGACAGCAGTTTAAAAGCATGAGTTTAGAATTAGAGGAAGCTGCAGAACAAAGTTTAATATATAGTGCAACGGGAACGTATTTCAGGGAGATCCAAGGTGGGCTGGAGAAAAGATATATTGTAGTAAAGCTAGCAGGCAGCTCTTCAAATTTCCTCTAAGGAAATACGAGGCTCTGATTGGTGTATATTACTAATAGTAAGTCCGCAGAGTTTTTATTGACCCTTCCGTCCCGGCCCCCAGAGCGAGCTTCTTATAACTAGACAAATTAGTCCCAATTAGGGAACTGTTACCCAATTAATTTCCTCAGCATCGGCATCAGTAAACTAACACTGAATTATGAAAACATTTCTTCCGAGAGTACAGAACCGATAGATGGGGTACAGCATCAGAAAACGGAGTGTTAAACCAGGGAAAGGAGTGTTGAACCAGGAGACGGATTGCTGAACCAGGAGACGGAGTGTTGAACCAGGAGACGGATTGCTGAACCAGGAGACGGAGTGTTGAACTAGGAGACGGAGTGTTGAACCAGGGAAAGGAGTGTTGAACCAGGAGACGGATTGCTGAACCAGGAGACGGAGTGTTGAACTAGGAGACGGAATGTTGAACGAGGAGACGGAGTGCAGGACCAGGAGACGGAGTGTTGAACGAGGAGATGGAGTGTTGAACCAGAAGATCGAGTGTGGAACCAGGAGACGGAGTGTTGAACCAGGGAAAGGAGTGTTGAACCAGGAGATGAAGTGTTGAGCCAGGGAAAGGAGTGTTGAACCAGGATATGGAGTGCTGAACCAGGAGA